AGGTAGTCATCTGGCGGAAGATGCCCCAACAAGAACAATGGGCAGAGTGATGGACAGAGTCTGACCAGTGCCACCCATGGATGACGACTGAGAAGTTCACTCTGCCAACACTCCCCACACTGGCTTCCAAAGCCATCAAGCCACAACATCCCATCCATTGCCCTCCTCTCTAACTACACTTATCCATCCTAGACACAATTAGCCGTCGCGGAGTTCACACACTTATTCCGTATCTTTCCACGCATCCATCATCCTCACCTTCGTCCACAGATTAAACGATCCAATTGACGATTTCACTGCGACACATTTTGTTTTCATCTAGCATAAAAGCAAGTTAACACCTCAAATGCAAGTCAGTGAAGAGAGGAAGAAAAGGGAGTGAGAACTGCATGAGCAAGTTCACAATAAGAATCACGACGGCGAAGACGACTACTAGAGAAACTTCAGGGACTTTTGCGCTCGCAAAACCTCATCTGTGCGAGTGAAAGCGCGGCGAATTTTTCCAAACACTGCCTCATCACAGACGGTGTGGGCAACATTGCCTTTATTGTAAGGCTCTGCATTAATGAGAGAACATGCAGTAAAAATTACTTGTTTCTAATCTGATTAGCATCACACCAAAGGCCATATTTGTGTTAGCAGCAAACACACTTTAACAAAACAGACAATTATCCCCGTTTCTTCCACCAACCACAAATATCTCAGTGTTGCAGATGAACCATTCTGTCCGAACGCGCTGCATTAGCCCCCAAATTCCACCACAATCACCAGTAAAAACGCTGGATAAGCACCTTACCACACGCTCCTCAACGCAACTATTGACGTCAGAAATACAGGAAACCAAACGAAAGTGCTGGCAAACATCATCGCCACCACCACCATGGTCGACAGCCATCTGCTTGTAGTATCCTCACCCTTGTCCTGTCAATCCTAATAATTCACAAGAGTACTTGTCACTATCGAAACAGAGGAGCAGCGACGACAACACTCAAAAGGAGATCACGTATTAAGACGATCTTTGCTGATAGCCACGACGACATGGACGTCGCTGAACTACATCTACCAGCCACCACTTTCACGATTGCCAACATCAACAACAACAGCAACAGCAGCAACAGACATATTAACTGCAGTTATCATAATGACAAAGTCACGTCCAGACGCCTCGCATGACGCCACCCATTCTCCTGACCTTCCATTCTACTCCCTATGTACATTAAAGTCAAAAGAAGCAGGCCTTATTACGGCCTAAGAAGTAGCCCAGACACAACTCCACTTCCAAAGCAAAGCATCCATTCAGCACAGAAAATGTCAATGAGGCAGACCTCTGCCTTAACCTCCTCCAAAACACCAATACTCACCTTCAACGAGGATCTTGAAGGCTTGTTCGATAAAAAGAAGATGCTGAATTGCCACATTCGCAGCCAAGGGCCGACCATTGAGAATCGAGATGGCCCATTGGGCAAATTCAAAGTTTGCATAGTAGGCGATAAAGCCGACAGAGAGCTTGCCTAACCTGGACCTGTTGGCACTGCGCAACTCGTTCCATGGCAGCTCTAAATCCATATCCACTTTCTCCACTGCACGATTGTGTTCGAAGGTCTTCTACAGGACGTGGAGAAAGTAGATGACATAAAGGTCCATGTAGCAGTCACATCCAGCCAAATATTACAATATCCTTCAGGCCACATCCACTGAGGCGACATCTCCCCATACACGGACCACAGCAGGAGGAATATCAAGAAGTACACATCCGCAGTACAACGTCTCTTCTAGGCAGTGTGATCACAATCACAGTGGTAAGCCGAGAAACCCACATACCAATTCAAAAGTATTTCATTCAAGTCAAAGGATAATCATTCCACTTCTCCTAGCATCACCACATTCTTCTTATTCTCAGCTAACATTTGTTGGCGAATTTCCACAGAACTTCCAATGCCAGTGGCTTCCACCACTTGAATAAAGCTATTCTCGTACCAACATAAATCACTCAGTATTTTGTCAATCCGAATTTCACTCCATCCAGCAATCATCTGCATACGGGCAAAAACAAAACTACATGAGACGAAAAAGTCTACTCAGAGGTAAGCATTTGGACACACTCAAACTGCAAGAATGTGTCGGGCCAAACAGACTACTTCTCTCTACTTATACGCAATAAGTAGTAAAGCGCACTCAGTAAATCAATAACTTACGGGGAAACGAGCTTGCAGATTCGGTACAACAGGAGGCGAGCATCCACATTGCAGGTATTGGATTACCATCAGCAGCAGAGCATATGTGGACAGCCTCCTCTTACTACCACCATGGATGCCCATCCTCTGAGCCCAGTGCTTCACAAACGTGCCAAGTGCAGGCACCCGAGGGTCCACTGTGAAAGAGAAAATTCATGCTTTCTTTGAAAGCCATTGTATAGGCTATGTACACACCCCTACCCCAGCACACCATATAATTCACTGATCCTCTTCTTACTCAAAATGACCGTCACAAAATGCTTCATCTTCCACCCACGCCCTACCGCAACACTGTTGCACTTGTAAGTGAACAACTAGGCACACAGTCTTTTGCCAGCCACATCTATGAAAAGGGAGACATCAACCCTACCTAGGCAGTCCAAACACCGCATACTCAACATTAAGGCTTCGAAATTATTCCCCACACAAAACCACAGTGACACAATGAAGCACGGTAAGACGAACGCAACACAACTACCACCTTCTTCTATCCTACTTGAATTTATTAATTTAGGCAAATAGAGGTTCATTTTTACCTCAAAACAATGTGAGGAGAGATTTCAACAGCGAAAAATAAAACCAGTCTCACCTCGAGCGTACATGGCGAGAAGATGGGTGTTGTAAGTGCCCACCACATTGTTGACGTTCAAATCGCACTCGATACCCGACCATTGGTCACGAAACTTAAGAATTGGCACAATAGCGGGAATCAGTTCACACCTTGTGAGGGAACCTGGCAAGAAACGCAGAACAAATATGAAATTAATGGGTTTACGGTCTATAGCGATTCAGCTTTCAAGCAAGTGTCCCACAGTACTTTTTATACCACAGCTACTACCAGCCTGTCCACCCCTCCCTGCCCCCCAACCGCAACAGACGCCCCAACACGCCCTGTGAACACCCAATGCTCACTTCCGTGACCATAATGGGTCACCAGCAAAGGGATACCATTCCCACTTCTCACTTTACACAAGGAATACGTTTATGAACAACGACTCACACTTCTGGGGCAATAGATTACGGAGTTTACGCAGCACCGTCTTAGTACCTGTCTTGCTCGGCAACTCCTGTGGTGGAATCACAAGGCACAAATCAACATCGCTTCGATCCCATCCAAATCCATTGGCTGAGGAACCCACAATAAACAGCTTCGAATCTACGCAATGGAGAGAATTCAATGAAAAATAATGCAAACGGAGGAGAAGACATTACAACTTCAGGCGATGAATATGTAGATAAAGAGTAACGAAATGAAGACATAGAGGTATGGATACAGGGTGCATAGGTATGTGGAGCAAAAAACATTGAACAAAAGTGAACTACTAATTGAAGGTACGCAACAAACAGATCCATGAATATACGTAGAAACGCTTAATTATCACCATGGGCAAACCGTTTCATTTGCAACCGCGTAACCAATTCGAAAAACCGATTAAGCACCTGACGACAGCAGCGAACTCTAAACGTATAGACGATGGATAACGCAATGCAGGGAATTCAGAGGCCAACTCGTCGTTCTTGCATGAACCGACACGCACGCGGTCCCATGAAGTCTTAATAACGAGCAGAATGTCGCTGGATAGCAATCTCACGTCAATGGGTGCGTTTATGACCATTGCGTGAAAACAAATACCCCAGTTACGCACACAGGCTTAAGGTACTCAAAACACATCAACAAACAAACGTAGCTTAAACTCACTCGGAAAGGATGACAAAATAATGGAGTGGAGATGGTTTTTAAATTTCACCTTCGCCTCATAGGTTTCAGATTCCTGACGATTCCGCTGCAATATCCTCTCCATTAGGAACGTGACATCGCCAAGGTAGTTCACTGTAGGAATGCTCCGTGCTGCCATCAATTTCTTCGCCTCTACAATGCAAGGTAGCAAAATAGGGGAAGTATGTACTGCTCAGATTATCCCCCGAAACCTATTCTCTCATTCTTTGATTCATGACTTGTGCATCCATGGTTGACAAAACTACACTATTGTCGGTGCAGTCCACCAAATCCAACAAAAACAACAAATTATTGCCTAGAAGCGCCTAATTGCACGCAGTTTCCGGCCTACATGACAGCAAGTACAACCAAGTACGTGCATTTGTGACAGAAATCAGGCTGCACAGAGAGGAAGCAACTCACCGCTCAGGAGCGGAAACAGCGGCGGAGACCCCACACCAACTTCCTTTAATACCTTGTTACTAATAAATAAGGCCAAATTGTAATTAGTGTAGAATGCACACCCTTGGTCTAAAGACGCGCTTAAACAACAAACTATCGTTAAAATAACAATGAATTTATTGCATTTTTACAAACGATTTCTTGTCTACATGTCATGAGCCTAAATGCAACCTAACTAAGTGCTTACTTTTTGATATTTTGAAAAACAAAGGTAAAGCCTTGATTGTGCAAGGCTGTTGACCATTGACGTTTCACAATGTAATATCAGTACTCGCTTCCGTTATTCTATATCTCCTAGTAAAAGCGAGATTCGCTTTTCGGTAATCGCACCAGATAACGAGGTTATGGCTGGTTCAGTTACATCGAGTCTATGCTGCTCTCGTGTGCATGATGTGGAAATACAGGCTTTTTCAATAGCCGGTGGGAACGCTATCCAGCAGAGTCTTTCGCCCTCATTGCACAATCGGCCAGGACTTTTCGCTTCCTACCTCCAAATACTGACATGTGACAACGTCCCTAATGAGGAAGTAAGATGAGTGAAAAACCGAAATGGCGAGATTTTATAACCAAGGCCAAATCACCTTATCCACTTACAAAGGCCTACGCCATGTAATCCAATTTATGGTATATTACCTACGAGAAATCATCAAGCACTGACGATTCCTCATTATGACAGCAATCTATGTCTTCTTGGCAAATCGTCAGACCACCCCATTTAGGCAAACATATCTATCCGTTTTCAATATGTCAGTCCTGGTTGGAGCCACCTAACGGGTCAGTGCATGACCACAAAGAAGAAGACATGAGAAACTGCAACGAGTAAGGAAGCAAGCAAACTCTTCACTCAGACTCGTCCCAAACAAGAGCAATTCCGTCGAGTCAGAGCGCCATCACAGCGTCACTGACAACACTGCACATGCTTGACGAGCTGCAAGGGCGAAGTGCAAATCTTAAGCAACTACATTTCAAGTAAAATGAATAAGTCAGTGTTCTGAGCATAGGAAATAAATTTATTTTAACTGAATAGGCTTTGCGCCCGTAAGAACGCTACGTTGACAAGACCAACCATGTCGTCCTGGAATTTAACTAAACTACCGAATCACAGTGGCAAGAAAGAAAGAAGGGAGGAGAAAACGTAAAATAGGGTCCGAGTTAGGTAAAAAGATGATCTTAACCAGCACCTCATATATTACTGCCTTCTTTGTGGGAATCTCATTCCAAGTTCATAAGTGAAAGGACCCGCCACTATCAATTGACGGTGATTAGTTCTAGCTCTTTGCATAGATATGATAACAGCTCATTTTAAAGATAATTTAACTGGGATTTGCTTGAGGGTTTTTATACGACACCCTTTACGAGAAGTCCATTCACGTACTTCCCACCTGTCAACACTTTCGACGTTTTCTCCCACCGATAGCGACGGAAATCGTGCTCTTACTGATTCTCACGATGGAACAAGTGGGAGATGGTTACACGGTTCCAAACAATTCCAATCACTGCACTTGATTGTTGCTGGTATTCTTATGGATGCAGAGGACACATGGTTGTTGAAGAGATGGGGATCGCAGGCACTATGGTGTGAGGAGTGCACGCTGATGCCGGGATTCCCTATGCTTTAAAAGACAGAAGTGGCTAGGCAACGCTTTGATGGTTTGTTTAACTCGGCGAGGGTGTGCAGCTAAGTTGTTTGGCATGCCCAGACAGTTTTAGCAAGAACAACGGACAAAGTAATGGGCAGGTTCTGACCAGTACCACCGGCAAATAACAACCGAGGCGTTCACATTGACAATACTTTCATACACAATCTCCCTTCCTCAATTCACTCATCTTTCGCGGACTCAAATTTTACACTCAACCGACCGTCTCAGCTTCGCACACTTATGCCTTAACTTCCACACACCCATCCATCCATCCCTCATCCATCACTCACCCTCGTCCACACATGGAACGATCCACTTCAACAAGTGCATGGGGTAAGCAACCGGCCAACCGAACAAACTCTTTGCCCAACGCCAACTATCAAGCGATGACAGTTGAACAAGAATCCCAAACAAAGGAAGACGAACTCCTTTTGGCAATTCATACACTTTGTGCCAATGCTTGCATTCCCATGGTTGGTATCCTCGTGAGTGCAGGCAACCACAGATCTATTCAAGACTCGACTACGGCACATTTCGTTTCTGTCTACCAAAAAAGCAAATTAACAAATCACACCTGGAATTTAACTAAACTACCGAATCACAGTGGCAAGAAAGAAAGAAGGGAGGAGAAAACGTAAAATAGGGTCCGAGTTAGGTAAAAAGATGATCTTAACCAGCACCTCATATATTACTGCCTTCTTTGTGGGAATCTCATTCCAAGTTCATAAGTGAAAGGACCCGCCACTATCAATTGACGGTGATTAGTTCTAGCTCTTTGCATAGATATGATAACAGCTCATTTTAAAGATAATTTAACTGGGATTTGCTTGAGGGTTTTTATACGACACCCTTTACGAGAAGTCCATTCACGTACTTCCCACCTGTCAACACTTTCGACGTTTTCTCCCACCGATAGCGACGGAAATCGTGCTCTTACTGATTCTCACGATGGAACAAGTGGGAGATGGTTACACGGTTCCAAACAATTCCAATCACTGCACTTGATTGTTGCTGGTATTCTTATGGATGCAGAGGACACATGGTTGTTGAAGAGATGGGGATCGCAGGCACTATGGTGTGAGGAGTGCACGCTGATGCCGGGATTCCCTATGCTTTAAAAGACAGAAGTGGCTAGGCAACGCTTTGATGGTTTGTTTAACTCGGCGAGGGTGTGCAGCTAAGTTGTTTGGCATGCCCAGACAGTTTTAGCAAGAACAACGGACAAAGTAATGGGCAGGTTCTGACCAGTACCACCGGCAAATAACAACCGAGGCGTTCACATTGACAATACTTTCATACACAATCTCCCTTCCTCAATTCACTCATCTTTCGCGGACTCAAATTTTACACTCAACCGACCGTCTCAGCTTCGCACACTTATGCCTTAACTTCCACACACCCATCCATCCATCCCTCATCCATCACTCACCCTCGTCCACACATGGAACGATCCACTTCAACAAGTGCATGGGGTAAGCAACCGGCCAACCGAACAAACTCTTTGCCCAACGCCAACTATCAAGCGATGACAGTTGAACAAGAATCCCAAACAAAGGAAGACGAACTCCTTTTGGCAATTCATACACTTTGTGCCAATGCTTGCATTCCCATGGTTGGTATCCTCGTGAGTGCAGGCAACCACAGATCTATTCAAGACTCGACTACGGCACATTTCGTTTCTGTCTACCAAAAAAGCAAATTAACAAATCACA